CCCCCCCACCCCCCCCCCCCCCCACAAGCCTTTTGCTAAAACCAAATTGAAACTTGCACACTCATTTAAGTGCGGCTGAAATTCGATAGTATGTGTGGTTTGTCCCCGTTGCTTGCATCTGTTACACACATAATACCTTAATCAATATAATTCATACCAATGAACTGAAACCTAAAGAGAATAGGGCAAAATCTCAAACACGACGAGCCCCCGTGGTCACACAGTGAACCAGGTCAAAGTTGCAGCATAAAATTAAGGTACAAGATATCTATATAAACCTAATGTTGGCCACAATTAGTGTAAGAATTAAATGGCTAAATGGTTTTATGTTCATTTTTCAAACAATTTTGCTGACCTTAGTGGAGTAGCAAGGGTTAATGCAGCTCAGAGTGAGTCAAACCCCCCCCCCCCCAGCCCATTTCCACGAAAGAACTCTGCAGTTGGTCGCACCGACCCTTCCTACGCTAGAGTGACTTTAGTTTTATATACTGCATTGTAGCCAGAAGAGTGGGTCATAATGATCAATCGGGCAGGGATGAAGAAGAGTAAAAATGAAGGAGAAAAAGTTTGAAAAATATTCCTTATATTTTCGACTCCAAATAAACGTACAACAAAGTCGGTATCAATTCTTAGATAAAGATTTTTAAAAATTATATCACAATTAATTAATACACAATTAATTAATACACTTGACATAAAAAATATGTGACTTCAGTTGACAGCAAAATGAATGTGAGATTCTCAGTAATCTCTTAGTAACAGAGTGTTAACTAATATACTCAGTTCATCAAGATCCTTTGATATGGGCAATTATTGATTTTACCTTTATATTCTTATCACGTGTTAATTGTCTACACAACGAACACCATAATATGTTTGCTAGAAGTTATATTTTTATCATTCTATCACACGGTACCTTGCAGTGCACAACCTTTTGACATTAAGTGTAATTGCCTAAGGTGAAGAAAGGCTAGACAATTTGTATGCAGTAATACATTCTATCACACGGTACCTTGCAGTGCACAACCCTTTGACATTAAGTGTAATTGCCTAAGGTGAAGAAAGGCTAAAAAATTTGTATGCAGTAATACATTATATCACACGGTACCTTGCAGTGCACAACCCTTTGACATTAATTGTAATTGCTTAAGGTGAAGAAAGGCGAGACAATTTGTATGCAGTAATAAGCGTTAAAGAAATGTTTTCAGAAGGATATCTTTAATTATTTTTTTCCACGTCTACTTGAAATAATAAATTAAATTCCAGTTAGAATCGAATATGCCTACTACTAACTTGACTAAGGACTTCAGAAAATAAAAGTAATCTCTAAACTTAAAACTGAGTCCAAACATATTTACATTGCATAACATACAACATTAAAAATGTGTCATTTACCGGGCTACTGAAGACGTAACTTTGACATTTTAAAAAAAAATTCTAATCCTAGAGTCCAGCTTCCCCATAACTCGTTTTGCTATTTCATTTACTTAGGCTGAGTGCAGTTCTTTCATTATTATAATTACTTTGGAATGTTCAAGGAGCTCAACGCCGTGTGGTGTGTGACTGACCATCAAGGGATCAACACGTGACCACTGGGTAACCTGCCGCCTTCTCTTGGTTCTGACTCTTTAGTTTCCCTCCGATTTGTCAGCATGGGTCCTATTTTCAGGGAGGTCCGATTGGGTCCTATTTTCAGGGAGGTCCGATGCTCCCTGCTCGATTTTGGATAGACTGGGCCGCCTTGTATAAAGAGCAAAGTAGGCCTTCCTTATTTATTTCTCCGGTCTATCTCACCGCTCTGGAAGTAGCCATGCGCATTTTCTATCATTATTTTGTAAATTATATTGTATTATAGAATTGTATTGGGCGATTCCTGATCATTAGGCTACTAATCATGTTGAGTGGGTTTTTAATTTTATTTCTTGTCGACCTCATCGAATGTACCCCTTAACGATGCTATCGCCAGTTAAACATACTGCCATGTGATGTTTTAGATGCCACGTGATGTCTTTGATGCCACGTGAGGTCTTAGATGCCACGTGTACGTGCTTTTACGACTAACATCTATAATTTATATTGTATAGTGCTCGAGTTAAACATACTGCCATGCGCCGGCCCTAACACTTGCGGGGCCCTATGCCAAACGGATTGCGCGGTGCCCAGTCTGGGTAGGGATAAGGATAATAAGTGAAAATTAAGATTTTGTATTTAAAAAATAAATTAGCGCAGGGCCTAGTAAAGTGCGGGGCCCACTGCGGCCGCATAGGTTGCAGTGGCCTTAGATCGGCCCTGCTGCCATGCGTTTAAATCTGACACAGACTCAAATAGGAGACCTTATAAATGCCATACACAAGTATCTAGGTTAACTCAATCATTGGGTACCCTAGGGTCTGTGCGCTTGGCTTCCTACAGTACGTCACTAAGTTCCTGACACATGCAAACATAAATATATTGAGATTTGTACTTGGCGCCCTCGCACCTCACATAGATTTAGAGCGGATAACAGATCCTCATATAAGACCCACAGCATGACTTCTGTAACATGTACACATTTTTAACGCATTATTTTATTTGTTCTTTGGGTACTCATGTTGGGTCTGGTTATCAAATTAATTTTATCATCATTGCTGTTCAACTGTATTACCGGTATCATGATGATGACAAATCTGCTACTGCTAGCCGTGTATGTTTGCCGTACTTTGAAAATAGCGAATTAAATACAGAGTTATCCCACATGTTTATTGAATGATTATATCTCGGATAACCTGCCAAACATTTTTATCCAGAGTTATCCAACCTGTTAATTGCTAGCTATGTGTAACAAAATGCCTGTCACTTTAAAACCGCATGTAGGCCTACTCTATATGTATCTTTTCAGATAATGTCCTTTTCTTCTGCTCTTTCTGCTTTTACCATACACTAAGACCAATAAAGTACTAAAGATATAGCTCTCAAGACCTGATACTGATATCCTTGGCTTTGTAAACCTAACTGCATTGCCACCAACCAACCATATTTATTCAAGATTTTAAACAACTTGTAAATAAATAAATGACAAGCACCAGAATACTGAGTAGGTTTTAGAATCACAGTATAAAACTATGCTAGTGGTGATCACACAATATTATTATACTTTTGAATGGTGAAAACACAAATAACTAAACCAATGTCACTGTTTAGACATGATATGTAATATTTAAGTTTACCATTGGGGGGTGTGTGTGTGAGGGGGGGGAGAGAATCTAAAACATGCAATTTTTATTGTATAGATATTTTATATTTAAATAATTTTTAATTAGTACTATTAAAAGTATTAGACATTATGTTGTTGCTTCATAGTGTAGGCTTACATATTTATCTATAGTCTATGGCTATGAATTCAGGAATTTGATTGTTATGCTGATTGATCTCATGGCAATGAAGTCTTCGACACAATGTTAAGCTGATCATTTTAGCTAATTAAACGACACTATATTAAATTATCTCACTTCTTCTTCTTCTATATCTTAAGGGCCCACGATCAATTTATTGATCATTTTGGCTCCTATGCATGTAGATGGGATTTGCAATGTTTCTGTTCCTGGTGTTGATGAGAAAATTTCACTGATTTCCAGTGCCACTTTGTGAGGGAATCATGCAGCTAAAACACATACAAGTTCATTGATATTAGAGTTATTACATTATCTCCCTTTAAAACACATACAAGTTCATTGATATTAGAGTTATTAAATTATCTCCCTTCAAAACACATACAAGTTCATTGATATTAGAGTTATTACATTATCTCCCTTTAAAACACATACAAGTTCATTGATATTAGCGTCTTTAGAGACTCATTCTCTTAATTTGAAAAAAAGGAAGCACACCAAATAATTTGTCACAATTTTATAAAACTCACATATTTTTAAAAATATTTTGTTTAAGTATCAGTGCTCATCGTACATACCTCTATGATGTTTACCTTGAATTTGAAGGCCTATATTTGTATTTTGCAATTTTTTTAAGGACGCAAAATTTTTTTCAAAATCATAACTTAAATTTTTCATGTTGTGCAAGCCATACGCCAAAACAGAAAGTGGCAATCAAAAAAATTTGTACAAGAAAGACATTAGGTATATATTTTTTTCCTCATATTTAATAAATATGTGGAAAAAAACATAGCTTAAAAAATATAATATTCACTTTACATCATTCCTCACCCCAACACGTGTTGATTAAAAAACTCAGTATATAATTTAGTAAGTTATAATATATTCAAAGACGTAAGACAAATATAAAAAAAGTAATTGTGACCCTAAAATTTGACTATGCTGTATAAGTTTGATATACCTAATGGGATTGAAATCTCAAACTTAGAAGACTGACGTAAAATTCCATTACATTGTATCATAAGTTATTTCAAAGAAAAAAAACCTAAAAGTTATGAGAATCAATGATCACCTTTTGGCGGCCCACTTATGACTCATTTTTCAATGACAACAAATTGGTTGTTGTTTCATAAAGAATATCCAGAGAAAAATATCCATCTTTTCCACCCCACCCTCCACCACCACTCATTTCCAAATTTTTCTGTACGTGGGTTGCAGTGGGCCTAAAGCAGCCTATAGCAAAAACAATGCTAGCTGTATCCGCAATATCCTTGACACCCACTCCCCCTTGTCCGTAGTTGAACAAACAGTCTGCCCCCCCCCCCTCTTCTTTGCAGCCATCCTTATGAACAACTCCATAGCACTGACCAACTTTGATTTTCTTGAGTGATATACAAACACAATGCTAGCTGTATCCGCAATATCCTTGACCCCCCCTCCCCCTTGTCCGTAGTTGAACAAACAGTCTGCCCCCCCCCCCTCTTCTTTGCAGCCATCCTTATGAACAACTCCATAGCACTGACCAACTTTGATTTTCTTGAGTGATATGTATAGTAAATATATTAACTGTAGCTGTTAAATGATGTCACAAAATTATATCACAGTTTTGACATGAGCAAAAGAAGTAGAAGATATCAACATTTTTTTACATTTTCTCATTAATACTGTTGGAAATCTGTTAATCTCCAAACATCAACTTACTAAATTATAGTTGTCTTGCTTACATTAACTAAAGATGAGTTTTCTTTGAATGAGGTCCCCCACCTTACCACAAAGAGAAACTAGTGCATACCCCAAAGCAGATTAGATAAACATTAACATACAGAAGATACTAGTGCATACCCCAAAGCAGATTAGATAAACATTAACATACAGAAGATATTTACACATCTGCTTTGTTGATCTCCCATTGCTGCTTTTAACTAATTTAAATTTTGCAATGGGAACTTCATAAATTAGCCTCTGATTGATGAAGAATTTTTGTGGTTTTGGTCCCATTGCTCATCTGAGAAAGATATGTTTGTAATGCCCCAATTTAGGATGTTTCCAGTCCTGAAAAGCCATTTTCTATAAATCTCTGCCTACTTTGAGCCATCATCTGGAGTCACTGCACCAGGGTTGATTGATGAAGCTGCACTAACATTAGTTTGAGACAGTGAAACAGAAGTAGTGCTTACAGATGAAGCAACTGAAGAACCTTGGCTACCATTTCCACTATATGCTGAAAGTTGTTCGTGCAGTGAGGCAATGGCTGCCATTTTTTGTTGCAAGATGTCACTCACGCGACGAAGATAGTCCTCAAAGCCCTGCAGAAAGGGGATTTATTGAAAAACTTAAAGTTCTTAAAATTTAATTAATTTTACTTAGTATTTTCTTTTAAGTAGAGCTTATTCAAATTAGGTTTATACAAGGTTAAATAAACTTATTTATAAACTTGAAAAAATATTCAAAAAAAAAAAGGTAGTAGGCCTAAGTATTTTTGTTTGAAATAAAGCTAATTTTAATAAATGAACAGTTAGAATATACCCAAACAATTATATTGGAGAAAACATAAAATATAACAAAACCATTATTCAGTCAAAACAAAAAAACTAAGAAGCTTGTAAAATTTAGCAATTAAACTTTTTTAATTTACCCGTTTGCCTGAAACTTTCTTAGCATTGAGCAGCAAGCGCATTTCGTATTTACATAAAGATGTGACAGTGGCTAGTTGGTCTTCATGGGCAGAAATCAGCTGCATCCTAGGTTAAAACAAGGTAAAAAGACATTTAAACAAATCTACTTCTATCCTGATCTATACTATAAATAAAATAATTGTTAAATAATGAATGGTAAATAAAATAAATTCTTTTTTTTTTATTACTTGTTTCTCAAAGTCTGATCTGCATCATGCCAAATGCTTTACGAATCATATAAAGACTTTCTGTACCAATATCAGTTTAGATTATTATCAATTAAATTATAAGATCTTGTTTTGAGATGGTGTTAGTTTTATGTTGATTCCTTTTTTAATGAATTATCATTTCTTCAAGGTGTGATGGACAAAACAATTTATGTTCAAGTTCAAGCTACATGAATTTATTGACCTGATGTTGCACATGTGTTCATACTTTGTAGTGTTCATTGTTTAATATAATAAATTTAAAGGCACATTCCTAAATATTTCAAAAATAAAGTTGATTCAAAATTTTGTGGAAATGAAATTTCAATAATTAAAGATAAGAATTTAATGTAGTAAAAATCAAATATATGTAGTAACTTAAAGTTAGCTCCATCTCCTGTTTCAAAGATTATGACCACAAATAACAAAAATAAAAGAAATTGCACAAATTCTCTTTATTACAAAATTTAATTTTTCAAAATCTTATTGAACATTGACAAATATTCTTGTCTTGTTAAAAATGCATATCTAAACAACAAATTTGGGTTACAAGTTTATTATAAGTTAATTAAGCTCATCAAAAAGTCCTTTTAAAAAAGTTAATGGGACTCCTCATATATAATTTATTTTTAATTTTAAAGAAATGATTTTCATATGCATTTCATACATATATCATTTTAAGAATTTATAGTTTTTTAAAAATGTTATTCCAATATAATTCATTAAGCCAGTGGTTCCCAAATATTTTGACTTGCTGAGCTCTTTTTAGAATAAACTGTTGGTGGGGGGGAGGGGGGGGTGATGGCGCGGCGCCTTGATGCCTATGATATGTGTAACAGATCATGTTTGCACACGAAATCATTGAGTCAGGGAGGTGGCATAATTTGAATATTGAACTATGTTAACGTGTATTTTTCACGGGAAAAGGGAGTGAATTATGTTTTTGTACAGCGGAAGTGAGCCGCACGTTTTTGAGTGATCAGGCCAGTTCCTCTCATGTTGAAGAGAAGTGAAGACGTGGTTGATTTTCTGTCATGTGAATTTTCTATCATACCATGGAGTATTATATATTTATACATGTGTGAGATAATTGCATCCTGGATTCTATTACCTGGATATTTGTGCAAGGATTATTATTATTGTTGTAGAAAAGTGATATAATAAAGTACTGTGAATTTAACTGGAACATGATATCTACTTCTTGTGTGACAGACTGATAGAGTTTAGGAGTGAAAGAGTGAATTATAAGAAGTATTAAATTACACAAGCCGGCATCCTGAAGCACGAGATATAAGTAAAATAGTTAACCATGCTGAAATCCCAATAAAACAGCATGTGTTACAATATGTCTTACAAATTAATGATGTTTAGGAGTAGTGGTATGGGTGGAGGGGATAGATATTATGACCTAAAACATTATTAAATGGTTAATAAAAAAACCTGTGGTTGTACACTCCCCCCCCCCCGCCCCCCACAATGTTAGGCTCAATTGATGTTGTTTTGGTAGCTGTATAGGAAGGAGAAGACCACTTTACTGAGAAATGCAGTAGAATTTTAAATTCATCATGTAAATGCAACCAAAACTCTTTTAGACTTTTGAAAAGCAATTTCTTTTTGGCTGTGAGATGAGGACCTTATATTCAGCCGAGTATAGCAGGGTTTTTTTTCTGTCAACATTCAGTAGGCCCACGCTCACCCTACTCTACCCATTTAAAGCCATCAAGCATGTTATCTTGACTTTTCGTAAAATAATGTAACAAGTCTTTCATATATTCCAGATACGCCAGAATATTATGCTGTGAGTAAAGCAATGAAAACATACAGTCTCCATCATTTAAAACCATCACCACGAGAGTGATATGGTCCATCAAAAATGCTGTAACCTCTGCATAAACTTCCATCAAATGTGTCAATGCTTTTCCTCGGACAACCACCTTACTTCAGTGAGCAGCAGGTGTGACTGATGGTGACCTCCCATATCTTCACACATTAGCTTGAGCAGCCTGCCATAAGATGTTGCAATGTTATAAAGTTTATTATTTTGATGGAATTATTCAACACTACCATCAGAAGGCATTTTTCTGGATGAACGCAATGGCTGCTGCTACATTTCCTTGCATTTTCTTAAATTTTGCCAATGCCTCCAGCATTGAGACTGATCATTTGGTTCACCATGAGTACATATATCTGCACAGTTTTGCCCAGGTAATTCATTTCATGAGAAGAATTCATCCATGAGATTAAATCTATCACTTTCTTTTATTTCGGTAGATAGTGGTCTGCAGAGGTAGATTTTAAGCAAACTTAATGCCAGTCAATTCCTCCATTTACAGTGCACTTTTGGTACAAATAACCTGACAAATGAATTTTGAAGACTATCTTATCAAGCAAAAACTTGACACTATCAATTTTACAAAGTTTAACAGGAGTCTCTGCAACAGTATAAAAACAGTGCACTTGAATCAATCAATAACGTTACGTGTTTGAACCAAAAATACTTCAGGGTTCCAACATAGGAGAAAAACATCCAAGTTCAGAGTATAACTTCCAGTTCTTACTTTAATTCCACACTTTTAATTTAATTTATTCATTAAATTTATCTTATTTCTTGGAGTGGGAGCAGAGTCTCTGAAAAGTGCTTGCGGAGCCCTTGGGGCTGCGCTAGAACAATGTTTGGAAACCACTAGATTAGGCTATTACAATTGCCTTACAGCACCTAAAATTCCTTGTTTACTCACTTGACTTCCTGTTGGGTTGTACTGCCATGATAATCACTTGTTGCTGATACTGGTGTGGGTTGAGGTAGTGGCGAGACAGGAGAAGACTGAGTTGTTCTTGTTGTACCTATATTTGTCACTGGTTGTGGATGTATAGGGGAGAATACTGCACCAGATGACAATTTTTCAGTTACAATAGCTGAGCTGAAATTTACATAACAGTAAATCATGGCAGGCACTTTGAAAAAGAAATACTTTAAATTTAATGAACAGCGAAGAAAATAAAAAAGGTGGTACTCTTTTCCATACATTTAAATTAAAAAAACTATAGTATGATATTTATGACGATATGGTATTATATATTCAAATATTTATAAAATGTTCATACTTAAGTTTCAGTGGAACATGGGGCCCTTGATTATACTTGGCCATTTCATTATCTGTCTTGGGGACCGGAACCTGGGGAAGGTGTTTGCCTCTTGGCCTGTTATTTGCAACTGATTCTGTCCTGGTGTGTACACTATTCCAAGCCGGGTCAATTTTATTATTAAAATATACATTCTGCTCTTCTAAATGAGTTTCCTTTGTAGTCGTAACTGCAGCTTCGCTCAACCGTTCAATATTTCCATCCCCGGCCGCCAATTTGTTTTCAATAGGCAGCTCATTCCTGATAACTTTCCAGCTTGCATCTTTGTGACCATGACCCACCTTCGTAATATTGCTGCGTGTTAACATTCTATCAAATAAAATAATTAAAATAACATTAAATGAACCCGTTTAGCATCTTTGTTTCAAAGAAAATTTTATAAATGTAGAGAGCTATAAAATCATCAACTCAAGTATAATTAACAATGACCATAGTGCACATTTGTTAAAGTCTTTTTTGGATTTAACGTTTTGCTCATTATTTCCCAACCAGGGGTAAATGAAGTAACAGCCAATAATGCAATTAGTGCCAGATAAAATATAAACATATTTTTACTTACTTGGAGAAATTCTGAGGGTCGGGAAGAGTTTGTTTTTTTCGCTGCAAGTCAAGGGCAAGCATAGGGTCACTACGTTCCTTGCGCATGATGTTTGAACCAATTTCTTTGTTGTGCCTGCAACCACCATGACCTTGATCTGATAATGAAGCTCTGAGACTTTCCGTAGACGAGTCGTCACTGACCTCTCCAGTAGGAGACTGAGAAACTTTAGCTGGATATCTAAATTCTAAAGAGTCAGAATGATGCCTAAGTTTGGGACTTAGGTGGTAATCTTCGTTAGAACTCAAGTTGGGTTGGTGCTGAGGAGATCTTGGTGAAGGCTGATTGGGGAATGGTGGAGCCGGCTGCTCAGAACTTGGAGATTTACCTCTAGGTCTTGGTAGTTGCCTTGCCGTTGGTTGCTGTTGTTGAGGAGGTGCATGGACAAGGTTATGACTCTCTGGTTGGGGCGTACTCATTTTCATTGTAGGTGACCTCACTTTGCCTGATTGGCTTTCATTGTTTAAGGAAGTGGGAGGTGTGTTAGGATTGCTGGTCTCTCTCTGAACAGAGACATCTTCATTGTGTTGGGGGCTGCTGGTCTTTCGTGATAAAATGTTGATTACAGAACTTGGTAGATCTGAAACTCTCATGGGTCTTTGTGTAAATTTTGTGAGTTCACTGCTTTCAGCAGGTAATGGAATCATTAAATGTTGGTTAATAACATTGTCTGATCCCACTTTGGAAATTGTAGATGCTGGCTTTGTTGGAGCATAGATTAAACTACACGTAGATTCAGAGCCTTCAGCAAGCAAATCTTCCTCATCCACACTCTCATCACTGCTGAGCAACTGTTGCATAAATGCCTTTTTGAAACTTGGTGGTTGATCAGAAATTTGTGGTGACATTATAACAGGAGGCAGAGGTTTTTGAATTTCAATCTTTGCTGCAGGGGTGGACCCAGATGTGCCAGAATGAGAAAGTTCTAGATCAGGATCCGTGGATTTGTAGACAATTGCTTTTACAACAGGAGCTCTCTTGCTTGAAGTGGTCACCATAGGTAAAACAGATTCTGCTGCTGCTGCGGCTGCTGGTACGGCTTGACCGTCGGCTGCCACTTTCTCAGTTTGTTTTTCTTGAACTCCTGAACGGTTAAGATCATTGAAATCATTCCCATTGTTAAAATCTGACGTGGGAAAATCAAATTCTGTATCAGTTGATTTGACTACAGATAGCTGACGAGTGTTGACTTTGTTGTATGTTGGATGAGTAACGTTACAAGAATCAGTGTCTGTGAGATCTGATTCACTGGGAGATGCATCTGGTGGCGGGGCAGACGTCCCTTGGGAGGCTGCAGTGGCATGGGCTGAGAATCTTGATGTGTTGCCAGGCGGGACAGCTTGAAAATGACTCGTTTGCTCTGGTCGCGACTTTGTACTTGGACCTGGCGAGTGCCTGCTCCTCACAGATTCTCTGGTGTTGGACCTTTTTGACATGTTGTGTCCTCGTATGGGGGTTTCACTGGGGTCAAGGTCGGGTGATACTGCCACCCTATCTCGTTGTGAGTGAGATGACGGCCTTTGTGGTGTTGAACTGGACAAGATGTTTGATGGGTGGAAGATTGATGGTGCAGTCGGTGGAATGTTCATCAAAAGATTCATGGTCTGTCCTACGGAGCTGCCCCTTACAGAATCTCTTTTAAGTTCTTTGACCCTGAAATACAAGTTAAAGGTTACTTAGAATCTAGTCCTTATTATATAATAACTAAGTGACTATCCCATTTGGAATTCTGGATGATGAGATAAGCTAAATATACCACATAAGTTTACTGGCCAATAAAAAAGTCTCATGTGTTTACCTGTCTGCATACCGCAATGTATTGATTGTATTTTCACATGCTGACTGCGAAGGGGAAATGTTAGCAATCATGCAAGTACGAGAGTTTCCCACAAATGAATCTTTTAAAATATGTGTGAGTTTGCTCTGGCGAAATGGTGTGTGTCTGCTTTCCTGGTCAATAGATCTGATGCATTCTTTAAGCTGAGGAATTATTTTAAAAAATAAAGAAATATTAAATTGAATTGGATACAAAATTTTAGCCATAAAAATTGATTGTGTATGAACTGATAGTTATTTAATAATGGAGACATTATCAAATGCCATACATATTTATGTTAGGGACAATACTTTGTCAATGAGTTCTCTAATATAAACTGCTCTTATAACTACTGTCCCATTGGCCAGATGTGGCAGAAAAATCAAATGTCAAAAAGAGCTCTGATAAAATTTCAAAATTAAAATCACTGCAAGTTTTTGTTCAAAATCTTTTTGTGCCTTTCATTAGAATTATATTTTGTATCCCCCCCCCTCCCCCCTTTTCAAATTGGATGAACTAATGGGTTTATCTTTTTTAAAATAGGATTAATGCTTATGCTGTCATTAAGAGAAACAAACATTACTTTGCTAGAGGGACTTACTGCTAACAAACTCTGATTTATCTCAGCGCCTTCCATCCTCGTCTGCTTGTCTGTATCAGTAACATCAGAAGCTCTTTCACTGCCTGCCAAGTCTATGAATGATATCCTGTTTTCAGAACATTCAAAGAGCTTGAAGAGTTATCACGCTCAAAAACAGATATGACTAAATAATTGCACTTCTAAAATATTGCCCTCAATGTTACATAATTACATCAGTAACAGTCACAACAAATCTTTAAGGCCAAACACAAGAAGCCTATGTAGTTATTAGAAAAGCTTCTGAACAGATAAAATAGAAATAGCTAGAACTATGGTAAAATTAATGACTGACTTTCCCATTTTATTATCATCTCCATCTCTTATATCAAGTTGAAGAATGGCATGAGATCTGGAGGAATCCGGGTTGACACCTGTTGCTCCTTTACTTCTCACAGAGTTGCCATATTCTAAGGTCTGATTTTTCAAAATATAATAATTATGATTTTAAAGTTATTTAAAATCTCATCCACAAATGAAAGTTAAAATATTTAATGGAAACAAAATATAATTCATTATTATAAGTATAAGAGACCAAAAGCTTCTGGTTTCATGTGCTAGGGTTACATGAGATAAGGTTACATGGGATATGGTTACATGGGATAGGGTTGAATTAGCTCAAAATACCTGAACTAGAGAAGCTACGCTTGTTGCCTCTGTTTCTGTGAGGCCGGCTATACAAACTTGATGACTGCCATCTTCTCTGGCATGTAGCCTTGTAAATTAGAAAAATAATTGTGGCGTGATTTTTTAAAATGATTTTTGTTAATTTCAGTCACAAGATCACAGAAGGCAATTTTTTCTTCTTTTAAACCTTGCTTTAAACAAAATAAACCTTGTTAATAAATCTAATTTGTGTCTGCTAAAAAGACAACTGGTCAACACACTATCTGATGATTATAACTTTTTATTTGATGAACCCTGACAAGTATTAAATCTTTTTTTTAACTATAACGATGTCTGCAAAAAAAAAGGGATTTTTTGCACCCTACTCCCCCTTGTCCACAGGTGACTTACACACCCAGTTGTTGAGGTCCGCATAAATCATTATACAGAGTGAAATGCCAGGAAGTATAATATCAATTATAAAGAGCATAGAGTCATTACATTTAAACATCTAAATAATTTCAAAAACATCATTTGTAAGCTAATTTTTTTTTAAATGTAAGGTTCAAAGTTGTTGAACCAAATATTTAGAGTGGTATCCCCCATGAAGTTTTCACTAACTTCTTGGTGATTTCAGATTACAATTACTTCACAAAAAGATCAGCCATAAAGGACGCATGCAATTAAAAATTAAATGCTAAACATAATTTCAGCAATTGTAGGCTTTTGAACTACTAACACCTCCACACCCCTCTTTCCAGACATCCTTTATAAAAAAAACACTTATGAGAATAAAGTAAAGTCAAGATTAACTCACCTATTTCTTCGGTTAAGCAAATCAAACAGTTGCCCACAATATATCTCAAAAAAGCTAACCCAAACATGAAGGTTTCTCCCATATTTCCCTGACTGAATGATAGAAAAGATGTCTTGACCTGCCAACAAATAAAGACCTGGAATATTTCCACTTCCAAGCATTGTATGAGTTTTCCCAGCACCTGTTTGACCATAGGCAAAACAAGTTGCAGTTCCCCTGTAATGAATTCGCAATATTATTGTATATCATAAATTCACATTGTCATTTTAAAATGAAAACAGGTATAAACAAACATTGAACATATAATAAAAAAAAAAATAATCTTGCATCAAGCTAATTTTCATTATAAATAAGACAAAGAATCTAAGGACTATAATGATGCAAGGAAATAAATACATAAATTGTAAGATAAGTAGACAGACTAAAAAATAATACAGGTTATACATAACAACTCACCCATTAAAAACACAATTAATAAGAGGTCTTGCTGCTCTTATGTAAACATCTTCATTAGTGCATGATTCATCAAATACCTCATCAAAGGTGAACTCATGCTGAGGAGAAGTGATACATATTTTATAAATTTTTGCATACTATAGCTGAAAGAAATTTTCAATAACAATTATTCAGAAATGTGTATCATTTATTTTCATTTTAAATACTTTAAAGTTTGCAGCATTGGATAAATACATTTAAAAGTAATACTTATTTTTTATAGCTTACAAGACCATAGTTACTAAACATGTAATCAGTGATAATTTTAAGTTTTTTTGCTTAAAAATAATTTTTAAAAAATTTAAATAATTGAGATGACATCAGTACTTAAGTTTATAATCAGTGATTTTTAAATTAATTTTCTCAATTTTTTTTTTTTTTAAATACGGTACTTAAAGTTCATTACACTATAAAAAATAAAGTACCTGCAAAGTGTATGCTTTCAAATCTACTGCAAGTTTAGGTTCATTGACAACTAGGGTGGTTGTACTCTCTATTGTAACAATGTCTTCTTCTTTCAATTTTATCTCTTTTTTTGTAAGTGGTCTTTTCCTAACACATACTTTAATCTTTTCATCCCCTAAATGTCTGTGCATTCCCTGGCGTGATGATTTACTTTTTGTAGGAGTTTTTACTTTATGAACACCATAATTATAACCTTTAACTTGTGAATGCTTTATACGTTCTACATTTGGTCCCCTAGATGTTCTTCCTATTGTAGGTGAAGAAGAAACAATTCTATTGACTACTGGAGGTATTTGCTGTCCATCATCTGATTCTTCCTCAGTACCTTCAGACTCACTGCTTTCTGTTACATACTGAAGCATATCCATATAGGATGAGACAGAAAAATTGGGAACCCTGTCTTGGACTACAACATCTCTTGATGGTTCCAGGCGCAAATTTGTTGAAGTACCAGATGCTTGAAAACCTGTCCCTCTACTGTGAGACTGTGAACCAACTAAAATTCTTGATTGGCTGCCTCCTCTACCAGTCAAATGAGTATTATCAATATGAACGGGTGTAGAGTTTGAAATAGATGATGTCTGACGATGTCTATTAATAAAACTTTGTCTTTGAGGACTGGGACTACTTGAAAGCCCTGAACGGTGAACAGATTTAATTATATTCACAAGCTCTACAAGTCTACGTTTGTCTTCAGTAGCCGTAATTCCCAAGGCACAAAACTCCGGCATTCCTAAATTAATAAGCGCTTCTGATCTTGTGATGCCATTCGCTCGAAATGCTGGATAGAATTGTTCAAGTCTGGCTTCTCGAAGGCACTCATAAAGTGTTCCCATTTTAGTTACCCACTGTAAAAATATTTGACAAAGATGTATTTAAACAACTTAATAACACTCTTTCTACATTTAGCTAGCTCCATTATATTACATGTTAATCACTAGGGGTGGACATAATAAAACGCTGAGTGTTACAAATTTTGACTGCATATCTTACTGTAAAAAATATTAAAAATAAAAATATAGTTAAGTACAAAATTACATGCATTGAAATTTATTTTGACCAAAACATAAAATAATTTTTCTTAAAGTTACTTTTAATCTTTAATTGTACAGGAACCATGCTTTATTTAATTTTTCTTATTGGCTTAAATTTGGCCTATGAAATGTTAATTTCTGCATAAATGTAGTGGTGCCACCATGACACTTTTAACTTTTTAATATACAATTATTTTGAAAGTCTGATTAGGGCTCTGGCTCTAGTCTTATAATTTTGGTTATAAATGTCATTAGTTATACAAACTAGTTGAAAGCACATTTGAATTTTGTTTAGCATTCTTGAAAATTTTAGTTGTGAACTTTGCAAGTCCTATTTCTAATATAACATAAAGTGTTTCCCATGAATTCAGGTTGTGAATCATGCAAGCTGGTGAGGCTGACTCACTGTTGGAGCGCAGAAAAAAAGCAGAATCAACTCCAGTCCAACTAGGACCCTAAAACATTTGTGTCCTAGGTACAGGAAAACTTTCCAGGTACAATGATGACTGCTGACAAGCCACCTGCATACTCAATGTTGAATATAGTCTTGGTCATCTTTGCATGCGATGGACAAACAACTAACATTTCTTATATTGAAAATCAAAAACATCTTTAAGAGGCCAAATTTCAGTAATGCCCAATAATGCTGTTTTCTTTTTTAGGCCACAGGACTATTGTTTTTTTTTTATTTAATAGGCCCAAATTAATTAAATTTATAATCTAGAATATAGGCAATAATTTAATAATACATAGGCATATGACCTGCACTACAGCCATAGCCATAGGAGGAAAAATATATTTATTAATAAATCACACATAATGTTCAGATTGGGGGAAATGTGGCAAAGAAAATGTATAATTAATATTAATTAGCATTTAGGCCCATTCGTTCGACTTAGAGTTAGACTATTAGTAATTAAAATTAATCTAACTTATAATTATAATAATATTTAATTAATCAGATCACGATTGACAGGCTAATTTAAATTAAATGAAGTCTGAGGCAATATTAAAGATTATTAAATCACATACCTGATTTGAAAGAAACAAAACGTTATATTAAGAATTGGCACTGTATCAAATGTGTCATATGAAGAAACGGAAATATGTTGGGTGACAGCTTTTCATGGCTTCTATCGGGAATCAGTGACATGTTAAAACTTGCAGACAATGCAGTTGTTTGATTGGCCGGAGAGAATCTAAAGTTAAGATATAGATTATCAAACTGTAATTTGTTTAACTTGTAATTTGCTTATATTTCTGCATAAAAATTAACATTCAGTTCACACCGCACAGTTAAACACACCGTTGTAATGAATTTGAATAATTTGATATTCACAATGTAATAAACTCCATATTTGTTTATAAACAATCGCCATTTTGAACTTCCCGCTGCCATGGAATCCGCTAAACACGAACACGAGAAATAACGAGACCTTTCACTAAGCGATTCTTAAAACTTGTACTAATGCTTTTTGTTAACATTTACTGTTTCTTAAATATCGCTTTATCACTGTGCTGAATGAATTTAATATTTAGATGACAATCACATGCGCATAAAGGAAAAACTAAACCCTACAAGAAATTAATATTTGTTTGTTTCGTCTTATTTAGAATATTTTTAATTTAGCTCTTCTTTAAAGAAAATTAATATTTTTATTATTTGACAACAATGTCAGGTTCTTCCAGCTTAGTTGCAGCTGGATTTCTTATTTTTAGACGATTGCAAAATAATTTTGAATATCTGTTGCTCCGGACATCGTATGGAATACATCATTGGACACCTCCTAAAGGTCTGTCTTGCTCAAAAAGTACTTAAGCTAAAAAGTTGATTCTGGTTTAATTTTTTTATTTGAAATTTGCTCTGTGTTATTAAAAAAATTATTTCAATTTTTTTAAATTTTGTATTCAAGTACCTACCCATAATAATAATACACAATAACTTTTTTTTAATAGAAAAACTATACAAAAATTTGAAATAGAAGAATTTAAACAATTTAATGTTTGAAAATGGAATTATGCATAGTTCTCCCCCAAGGTGACAATGAAGTTTTAAAAAATATAAGTTCCACAAAATCGGTTGTGGTACATGAATTTACGTAAATATGAAGGGGAAAGATCACGGCTTGTGCCAAACTGCCTTTTCAGTTTACGCTTTTTGAGCATCCACGTTTTCCACATTCTGTGTGTGGACATCCACATCATCTGGATCAAAAAAAAAATAATTTTGTTAATGCACCATCTTAGATGCTGAATAAGGGGTCTGACGAATTCAGCAGTAGTGTGGACAGCCACCATTCCTCTTCATTTCGTATCTGATCTGTATCAAACATTTCAGACATCGGCACTTTTGTAGTCTCTTTGTCTTCCTGGCATATTGGTAGCTTGGCAGTAATAATTATTTACATGTATTAGTATTGTGCTATATAACTTATACGGAAGCAAAAATATTAACAGACTCCAATGTAAGAATAGTTGTTTAAATAGCCCTTCCAAACGGAACAACTGGATTTTTTCTTGGCCGACGCTCAAGTGGTAGACTACCCTATTACTACTACTATTAATTACTAGTCTATTAAGTCATTAACTATTAGTGACTTGTAAGTTGTGTAAGCCGCAAGCCGTAACGAATGAGTCAAATACAAATCATAGGCTGATGATAAGCTTATGAACTTCGCTCAGTCTCAGTTTCTAAATTTAGAATAGCAAAGCTGATAGGCACTGATCACTGCTAGCTAATGAGATTTAGGCTTCCTGATGTCCAGCGTTGAATTTGTTGCCAATGTTGCACCGCCATTTTTTATTTATCTTGTGCAAAAAAAAATTTTTTATAAATCCAGTGGAAAAACTGTTCAAAAACCTGTATGGCCTTAAACCTTGACAAACTTATAAAAATAAAAGAAGGTACTTCTGTAAAGCAAGGGAGACTACTAAAACATTTTTATGGGAAATGGGCGTCAGCGCAGGATAATCCGAGTTTTTAATTTTTGGACGTCGATGCTTTTGCATTAATAAAAGGACTATTTTGTCATAAAATTGTGATTTCCTTCCAGATGCATAATAGGGGACATCGTGACCTACATTCCAATGTATTGTTTTGCCTTTTTTGATTGACCTTAATAATGGAAATTCATAGGTATATTATATAAGGCATCTTTCCTCCAAAATTTGTAAGAAATTCAAAGTTAATGTATTTCATATTAAATCTTGAAAAGCATTATATATTGAATGATGTATACATTTGTCAATTCTCATTGATGTAGGTTGTGTCCGACGTATGTTACGCTTGTCCCCATAACCTGCATTACCAATAAGGTCGACCTATTTTTAATGGCAGAAGATGCCAATAGTTAGGAAATATTTAATTATTACAACTATTTACATCAAACCATTTGATAACTTATGTTTTAGAATGAATTTAGATGTAATTTAAAGAAGAATATTTTAATTTGAGGTTCAAAAACCTGGTAGAGTCCATATCATATTATAAATTACTGTATCATAATTTGCTCTGTGCAAAACATGTCATGGGCAGCCATTCACAGTCACTTGCATAATGGCTATACTGTATTACTGTCTCAGAGTTTAATTCATAAGAGTTTGCTATGTGCAAAAACTATTAAACCATTGGTCAGGGACAGCTTTAATTAATTAGTTATGTGCCAAAGTTGAAAGTTAAAAATAAGTAATCCTAAACAGTGTTAATTTTGAGGTCCTAGCCATTGGAAAAATATTCCTCATTTTAATTTTGCTTGATAAAAAAAATTGTTTACCCTTTCCAAGTATCAGTGGAAAGTATGGTTAGGCTTCGCTAATGAAAAACTTGCAAGTTTTGGCTGAACGGCTTCTCTCAGACTGAAATTACAATAATATAAAACAGTCCAAGACATTAATGATGTTAACGCGGTAATTCAAATCAGGAGAAAAGTAATAGTATAATGAAGCTTAGACTACTATTACAGATACAATGCTTTTCTAACTATAATTTATTGTGAATGTGTGAACCTGAAAGTCTTCTTTGCTATACTGGTAAAAAAATTGTTACATGGTAATGTTGAAATATGACATGAGTACCTGAAAAATTCTTACCAAAATATATATTTATGTTAGTTTTTAAATTTTGTTGTTTTTTAAAAAATAAAAAATCTTACAATTCTTTACAAATAGGACATGTGGACCCTGGAGAAACTGAGTTTGAGACAGCATTGCGTGAAACAGAAGAAGAAGCAGGTATTTCAAAAGAGCAGCTGAAAATTTTTAAAGAATTTGAAAGAGTTCTTCATTACAGTGTTAAAGGGGAACCCAAACGAGTAGTCTATTGGCTATCAGAACTATGTAACCCTAAAGATCCTGTGAGATTATCTAATGAACACCAAGAGTATAAGTGGTCACGGCTGGATGAAGCATGCGAGCTTGTACAATATCCTGATATGATTTCCTTGTTAAAAGAAGCTAATGGATATATTACAGAGCTATATAGATCCAAATAAATATTCTAAACTAGTTTCTTCATTCCAAGGGGAAGTCATCATGTCTTAGTACAAAATCTGATAGTCCCACTCATTTTGGATTTATCATTTAAAAAATTATAAAAAATTTTAAATACCCGGTACTGGTACTTGGTACATGATTTGTAGATTTTTTATGTATAAATCTAAAAAAAAAATCTTTAATGTTATAATTTTAAAATGTAATTATTGGTGACAATTTGTTTCTGTTAATGATGGTATCGTATATTTAATGTTAGTTTGTTTTTTTGTTTTTTTTTAAGTGTCTTTACTTTTTAAACCTTCTTACATGAATATCAATACCGGGTACTTTCAACTTAAAAGCAGGCTTGAGCAATTTTTTCCACTTGCTTCTCTTAGGAGTGGCAAGATGCCAAGTTAAAATGATGACTTCTAGCCAGGCTAATTTTTAAAAAATATGAATTCCACCACTGAATGCACATTAGAACTTAATATAAAACTTATTTTGCAAAGGATCACATATTATTATTATTTCAATAACGGGAATTGATAATAAAATAGTGAAAATTATATTATATTAATTTAATCATATAACCATATTTGCTTTAAATTTAATCAGATTCATTGAACTTTGTCAGTGATAACAGTGTTCATAGTTTTTTTTAAAATGGCTGTACATATCAAAGATTGTATAAGTATAAGAGATACTAATGAGAAATCTCCAGACTAAAGAATGGAACAAAGTATTTCCTTGACATGACTTATTACATTTTCTTAAGACATTCTATGGGCCAGCTCTGGATCATTGCATGTCTGCCTGGTTTTAAGTTTAAAATTTAGACAATTCCTCTCCTTATAATTTTTTCATTTATATTTTATTATGATTATTTTATTCTTTTGTTTAATACATCTGTTTAACATACAGTGTTTAACAACTGTTACAAAAAATTTCAGTACCGGTACCAGTACTTTTTTAAAAAATCATCTGGAACAGTAGTTAAAATGTAAGTTTTCTAATAATTTCTATACTTTGTAAATGATCGAAAGATGTTTGATCTATGTCCTGTTTTAAAAATAAAAAAATTTAAAACTTTTTTTTGTTTTCATGTTTTAATTTTAAGTGTTATTTTTGGTTTTTGTCCCATGAGGTTAAAAAATATTTGTGCTACCGGTAACAAAATTTATTAAATAGGGATATCATATTATAAGAAGGGTACAGGGTTGCCGAGCAGTCTAAACTGAGTCAATCCAAAAAAGATGGTGGTCTGAAGTTCAATCCTTAGATAAAGCCTAAACAAGCAAAGACATCCCCAGGACCCAGGACGGCAAATAAGAGAAGGCAAACTCTGAATTCCAACCCGGAGATGGAGTCCCAAAGGTGGATAACATTGACACAATGAATATTCCAGCAACTCCTGCAATGCTTATGTTGCCAAGCTGTATCATCCACATATGATGTTCCCTAGGGTTATCCAGGTGCATGGAGAGAGGCCATTACTTGTATATGGATTCACTCCAAAAGAAAAATAACAGTCCAATTTCGTCCTACGAAGTCTTCACTATCATCATATTGCGACAGACGGATGCCAGATTGTGATATTATTATTTATATTAAGGTTTAGTAAAGTAACCAAACAAAGTTCCTTGCTACGTACAATCAATGGGATAATTTTTAAAAAATTTATATAGAAAAATTGCTCTCTTAACTCTATTTATTTGATTTGAATTGTAAGTATATTTTTCTATTTGTAAATCCTTCTTGCATTTGATTTATAAATATTTTTATTGTTTCCTTTTTTTTATATATATTTTTTTGTCTTATTTTAAAAATAATAATATACTTTATACACAATAAAAAGTATTTCTAGTAGTATAATTTTGATGTGTTTGAAATACATACAACATATGTGTAATTTCAAGATGAAATTCATATTTGTTAAAATATGATATTTTCAATTCAGTTATCAAATATTGCCAGTAATGGCAGGTGAGCTATTTCTTTTTTACTGTAAAATTATTTTTTTAAAAATATTTTTAAAATTATAATTACTTACAATACCGGTAATAAATTTTTAAAAATAATTAATACCACTAATCAGAAAATGCAGGTTTATTAAAAGTAAATTTTAAATACATAAGTTTTATTTGAATAATTAGTGTTCTTGATTTTTCATGAGCAAAACATTTTATTACCAATGACCAATGCCAATACTTTATCTTCAATAAATCAAGTTTTTTGTAATTTGTAAAATTCACATTTTGTGTAAGCATAATTATAAAACTTGTATTTTGTATAAATCCTAGTGTAACTTAATGTTAAAAATCATTTTAGTAAGTAGTTACTCCCACCCTAACACTTTGTTATCCTCCCTATCCTCCTCTTGGCTCTTCTCACCACCCTACCATTAAGACCCTCCTTCCGTCTGCTAACTCTGCCTCGTCACTCTTGTATGTGGAGCGTACTTGTTTTGTTTACGAACATGACATGAAATTAATTTTAAATTCTAAGACTTTCTTGTGCAGTTATCACGTGTAGTGAACGACTGGAAATGATAGAGAATATTATTGGGTCGACGGTGGCAGGTGGCGAGTTGACAAACAAATTATCATGGTTATCAGATCTAGTGTAATGCCTAAGTAAAGAGTTAAGTCACTTAAACAGGGGATTTTGTAAGCATTCGATGTTTTAAAAAGTCTACTTTTGTCTATAATTTAAAGATTACATTTTTAATACCGGTACCAAAAAATAGAAAATAAAAATGTACCGGTATTTTAAAAAACCATTTTTAATTAGACTTTCTATCAAAGAAGGGTTAAAACGCACGAAAAAGTAGCACATAGTTTAAAATTTCTTAAAATGCAATACGCAAAGAAAATCTGTGCAGAAATTGTGTTCCTTTTTTTAAAAAGTTTAATCTACAATACATTCATTCATTAATGATACGACACGAATTCTTTGACCACATAGACGAGATTAGAGTGCTCATCTACACTTCTGCACTGTTTTTCTTTGCGTAATGCACTTGAAGAAATTTTAAATAATTTTCTTTACATTGAGTTTAACTCGCCTTTAAATTGATAATATACATATTTATATTTAGTTTATATATATATTTTTTTTCAATTTTATTGTGGCACGGCAGTACGTAAAATGGTGTATTTTAGATTTTTAGTATAACAAATAATAACCCTTGACCCGCATTAACCCAAGATTTTTTAAAGATATAATCCATTTTGTAGGATTTTATTAAAAAGACAATTTTAAAAAATCAACAAAATTATTATTAAATTTCTCGGCATTTACAAATTTTAATTGATATTATCAATAATTTATTGTTCAAAGTTATTGAGTGGCAGGGTGTATGAATACCAAAATATGTGACCTCCGGACGTTCTTCTTCCGAATTGCCACTTAGACTATTTCCATAGATTTACAAAATGTCCCTATTCTTTTACCAATTAGATATTTAAAATTACTGTAGAAATTTTTTACTCAATAAAATAATATTGAATGATTAATTATGAGATTTAATTGTTCTCCAGTTGTAATTTTATTTTGACAAATTAGTATTACTTAAGAAGAAACCTGGCAAAAGAAACACTGTCATTCATGTCTGTCCCACCAGTATAAAATAGTGGCAAATTCATCCCAGCACAGTCATCATTGTGCATCAGATTAAAAAAATTCGAGCAAGATATCTAACAAAGACTTTAATTTTCATGTCATTTTAGGACCTTATTTTATTGTGTGCAGTCCTAAACCAGGTGCAAAGTTACCAAGTTGGCTTTCTTTTTATAAAAAAAATTATTAATAAATCACAGTAGCAGACAATCTCGTGACGATAGCACCGATGGCGATAGGCTCGTTATTTTAAAATATCCAAACTAGGTATTAAGTACTAGTACTATGGTAGGCTCTAAGGCGTACATTACAATTACAAATTCCGGGATGTACAGAAGTACTGACTTCTCCAAATAATGAAACATTGAAGTCTTGCATATAATTTCTTTTATTTTTCTCTGCTGAGTCTGATCAGTCTGCCATGCACCACTGAAACTGAAAGGATAGACAGACGAGTATGTTACTCAACCTGCCCTCTTCTTCCACCACCATCATCTCATCTGGTGAAAGAAGGGTTATTGGTTAGGTGTGGGGAAAGTTTGTTTTCAAATCACAACTGAAGTCACTTCATTCACCTTCTCGTAAGTAAATGTGAGGTGAATGTTATGATTGTATTTAACACATGACATTGGTAATTGAATTTCTTGTTTGGAGTGATTTTTTTAAATTATAAAAATAAAACATTTAACTTATATTATTATAATATATATATTAACAGGCCACATTCTCATTTATTTCATTCAAATTCAATACACCATTGTCAGTGCCCATGTTGTGGGAGTAACAAACCTTATTTCAATTTTGAGTATGCTTGCGCAGGCAGTGAATGAGTTAACACCATCCACGCCAATAATAATATTAATAGCTCATTATTTTTTTAATTATAAAATGGTAATAAAGGGGAGAGACTGCAATCAGGTTAGGAAGAAAGGAAATGAGTAAAACAAAGTATATGAAAAAGGAATGCAACAAAAAATGAACGTGTCGGCAGGAACCCTTCGTCAGTGAACAAACAACAGAAAAAACAGAATTAAATTTAAAAAATTGCAGTCTTAGCTGAAAAGTAGAATCTGAGAGGGCAGCAAAATGAATGTGCAAGATATCCAAATTTTTAAAAGTGTGTAAAAGCGATATAATAATATGATCATACTTGTACAATAGTCCCCTCTGGCTTATTTTAATAATAATTGTATGACTTATATAAGGTCTAAAACAAGCTGTGATTATGTTTGAATAGCATTTGGATATTTATAGTTAATTTATAGATTATAAAGGGAACATTATTTACTTTCAATTTCAACTGTTTTTCCCTAATGATTAATGACACAACCAAGCCCAGCCATCATTTTTCTTATTAGTTTATTAATGCAAATATCAGGAACCATGCCATTATATTTTTTAACTTTTTTTTATTACATACTACTACTTTAAATAGAATACCACATTAAAAATAAATGATATTTTGGGAGCCATGCCAATAATGCCTATTGCCAATAATCATAATCATGTTGATGTTGTATCTGAATTTGTGTTACAGCATGGTTCCACTGTATTGAAATGACCAAACATTTGTTCCATTGTCAGCATTGTATTTTTATTTGTCAGTAAGCCATACATTTGTATATTTTTTATGTATAATTTTTGGAAAGTAAATAGTGTCTATTGGTAGTTTACTACTGATAGCTTCTATAGTTAGGGCAAGGAGCTATTTGTAGTTAACTACCATAGCTTCTTGAGAGCTATTGGTAGTCCAGCCAATCAAATCAAACCAAAATCTTAGCTTTAAAAATTTGCTTCCATTGAGGCTGGTGAAGAATTGCCCTGTTCATTTATTACTAGTTTGTGCTAGTGACAACACCTCTGCACTAATTATAAAATCTACAGTACTGTTTTAAAGTTTTAACACTATCTGCTATAGCCTTCCCCATGCTCGGATTTGGCTATATTGCTATATAATTTATAATATAAACCTAATATAGATCTTAGATAGATGTATGATACTGGGGGAAGGGGATCATAGTCTGAAAAATGTTTACCCAGCTCCTTCTTTGCCTAGGCCAAAGTAAGTTGTGCAGTAAAAAATAAAATCCAGCTGTAAACATTTTGTGTGTGCTAATTATTATGATTAAAATACAGGCCTAAATAATTGCCACAAGAAGTTTTACTGCATACAAATTAATACAAAGTGTGCATATTAAAAATAAAATATTGTTACTTTAGTTAAATGAAACTATATAATAACTGGATTAGGCTTAACGATGATAAAATAAGCTTAGGCCAATCATTGTTTAGGAGCATGGTCACATAAACCAAAACCCCCTTGCTTTTGATTTTCTGTTGTTTGGGAGAAATGTCTAGTGTTATTTACATAAATGAGCCCTCATTAGCTTATAAAGGCATCAATATTTTTTATGTACAACTAAACAATTTCATTGGCTATATTATGCAACTATAACACAAATTAATCAATTTAATGTCTAGGAATCACTTACTATTTATTTTTTAATGGTATGCAGAGTATGCAGAATCAATGTTTTAAACTGCACATAATCTTGTCATTCTTGACGAAAACATAAGCAGAGATACATAAATAAAATAAAATATATACAAAGAAAGAAAAATAAGTGTATTATGTCTTGAAAATCTGAATGGAGTGAATTTATGAGACTAAACACACAAACAATACATTTTGTTGACACATGTTTTTTGTGTGGCAACTTACATACTTTAGAGTGATTTCAGTGTTGTAATGAAAAATAAATTGTGACTACCAATAATTATTGCACCACATCAATATATCACTTATTGGTATTTTTTATAGTAAACTACCAATAGCCGCTTAGAAGCTACTGGTAGTGGAGTACCAATAGCTCCCTAGAAGCTATTGGTAGTTTACTAAATAGCCACAGCCTGGTCAGCAAGTGCAAATTTATATGCCTAATTGTTGCTGTTTTTTGTTGTTGTTTTTTTATGTTTGTAGTAAGTGAGAGCAATTGATGGAGTGTCCACATTTGGAAGATAGTGCTAGAATTGCTTTTGATTTGTCCTGCACAGACAATAACCATTTCGGCACTACAAAAGTTTTCAAATGCTCAGGTATTTATTAATTCATGTAATTATGTATTTATTTGTCTCAGCTTAAATTTAAAAACATACAATATATCCCATGTTATCTATAATGAACTTTTAGTTATTAAAAGGCTTCTTATCGTGTGGAAAAGTATTGTCATGTTAACAGTATTTTTTTAAAAAAAGATTTGAAATAATCTAACAAAAAATTGGTACAAAAATACTTGTAAATTTTAACATGGTGTTCATCTTATCCATTGCAATTGTTTCTTTCAAATTATTTAGCCTGTCAGACTGAAGAGAGTCCATGGATTTGTTTGACATGTGGAGATATAAATTGTGGCAGGTATGACTATGAGTTTTTTTTTTAAATGCAATAAAAAAAACTTATTTTCAAGAAAAATAAGTTTTTCTATATTTACATAACTACTTTCTCTTAAAAACATTTCCACTTGTAAAAATCTTGAATGAAGTACTGATGAATTGAAAAATTCAAATTAAGCTTTAACTGTTTCATAATTTATATATAAAATGAAGATGATTTTAAATAGTTCAAATTCTTATTACAGATACATAAAAGGGCATGCAAAAGAACATCATGAAAGTCACAATGAGCTTCATGCTGTGTGTATGGACTGTCATAGCCTCATGGCTTTCTGGTGAGTTTGTGCCTAACACCACAAAAGCATTTTTTTTTAATTTTCCAAATAAATATTTTCCATTATTCACTCCAACTGTAAATATAACCCGGACTATTTTTTTTTTTTTAAATAATTGTATTATATTATTTTTGTGGCATTTCCACAATGTTGAATGTTGTTATAATTATTCATCAAAATCTTGCTCTAATTCCTTTTTTTTCTTATTATATTTTATTTACAAATTCATATTGTGTCAGTATTTTTCAGCACTAATAACATTAAAATTTTCTTTCCAATTTTTTTTAAAAACAGTTACAAATGTGATGATTTTGTTATCAATGATACCAACTTTGGCCATTTGGAAAAGTTAAGAAAACAGTATGAGACTTTAGCAAAAGTTGCAAAAAACATTAGTGAAGAAGAAAGGTATTTTAGTATTTAATTTTAATGTTGAATTTCAAAATAGAGTAATATATGCTAATTTGAATTATAAACAATTGTTAATTCTTGCATTAAATTGTTTTCATACTTGTTTCATTGCATATTAATATTATTATTAACACTTTAAATATTAATAAGTTTAGACCTAAGGTAGTTAACGTAAAATATTTATTAAGCTTTCACAACTACAGTTGCAGCGGTCAAAGTACATCAAGTCGTAAAATTCTTAGACAAAATTCATCTGACTCCCTAGAAAATGAAAGAAATCACAAGAAAAGGAAAAGGGTTTGTGTATGTTTATTAACATGAGTCTTACTCATAGCTTGTAAATCAAGTTACAAAGACATCACACTGTAAAACTTTTATTTTTGTAAAGTTAAACAAAAGATAAATTTACAATTTGGTTTTAGTATCTTAAGTTTTCAACAAGTTTTACTTTTATTCCCTCTTTGAAAACTTAAAACAGTAATAGAGAAGGCCAATGTCAAGGCAATCTTCATATATTTTTTAATATTCAGAGCCTCTTTGTATTGCAAATTTGTGTGGTTGGTTTAAATTAATACTTAATTTCACATTAAAATTTACTTTAATCAGCAGGACAATCATCATAAACAACGTCGACCAAGGACATCAGGACTCCGTAATTTAGGAAACACATGTTTTATGAATGCTGTTTTGCAATCATTGAGGTATCATTACACTTGTATTATTAAAACTTCATTGGAATCATCTAACAACTGAAAATTATATTTTAATTTTTTTATTTTATTGAAATTATTTTTAAACATTAAGTTATTATTTGCAGTAATATACAAGAATTTTGTGGGTATATCAAGCAACTTCCATCATTAGAAGACAAAATACTCAAGGCTAAAAAAATACAAATTTCTCGGAAAACTAGGGATTCTGGCGAGGATGTGTAAGTTTTAGTTTGTGGCATTAGATTGATTATTGCTGATGTATGTGACATACATATTTTAAAATAATAGAGTAACCTATCTTTAAATTTTCGTTAAACCATTGTCAAATTATTTTAGAATTGGTATCCCTACTTTGCTTTGTTTCCTTAAATATATGTTATGGTATTAAGTTTACATGCCAAAATGTTAAGCTTATATATCAAATATGCATAAAGGGATTTATCATTTCAGCCTACTTGTGGAAGAACTAAGGAAAACATTAGTCGCACTGTGGCAGGGAACAAAAGGGGCTATTTCTCCAGAATCACTTTTCTCAGTTGTCTGGAAGGTGGTTCCAAGATTTAGGTTTGCACTACACTATTTTAGAGAATCTATCTCAGAGGACTAATGATTTTTACTATTAGTTGGTGTGATATAATTTTTTTTAAATTTAAACAAAATATGTGAATTGGAGAGTTATTTTAGTATTTATATTAAACACATTAGCATAAGAAACTTATACAGGCATCTTCTTTTGTACAGGTTTGATTTCTTACTTTACAAGAATATTGTTTAAAATTTTAAAAAGTACAAGTTGGTTTAAAAGTGGAAGCTTTGGTATGTATATTTTCCTAGAATAATTTTCTTAACATATTAGAATGAGTAAGTAATGTATCACATCTATTTATTTATTCCAGAGGGTACCAACAGCAAGATGCTCATGAGTTCATGCGGTACCTCTTAGACCGGCTTCATATTGAGCTTCTTGAACTTCTTCCATATCCCAACAACAATTCTCCTTACATAGGTCCTAAAGGGAAAAGTACTATAGTGACAGCTATATTTGGAGGTTTACTTCAGAGTGAAGTCAACTGTCTTATTTGTGGGATGGAGTCCAAAAAGCATGATCCTTTCCTTGGTTAGTTTTAGTATAATAACTTTGATGCTCTTCTGGCATTAAAGCTGTTGAAACTACAAGTTGTTTTTTAAAATCCTAATGTGCTTTAAGGCATAAATTTATCAGCCATGCTTATAGAAACACTTTTAAATTTTATTTTTAACACTAGCGGATATACCCGGCATTAGGACCCCATCGTGGTGTGACCCTGATCCCATTGGAACCCTAATCCCATTCTGACATTGATCCCGGCGCAGTCCCGTTTCCCGGTGTTATGCCGATCCCGGTTGATCCATTCAAGGTTGTGATCCAGATTCTGGTGGGATCCCATTTTCTGGTGGAATCCTGATACGTTGGGATAAAGATTATGATGGGATCCCGACCCATTTGGGATCCTGTATGAAAAAATTCTTCAGTGGTACTGAGAGAACAATAAACTCCTGTCAGTATGGAAAAGAACAGAACTAACTAACATTTCAATAATCCCTTAGATCGCACTATATTTCTCCTTGTAACAATTTAGACCTTTCTGGAATATTTTAGATTAAATAATTTAATGACTGCTCGAAACATGTGTAAAAACTACTATTCTAATTATTATTATTTTAATACGATAAAAATCGTCAATAAATACCATAATTATAATTAATGTTCTTTTAAGTTAATCAAGGGGGGGGGGGGGGGGGGGCATTCCATAACTGTACTGATCTAGTTATGCCTGAGATAAAGGGCCCTACAAATATCAGACATATAAATAATAGATTTAAAATTTGTCCCATTGGTTAAAAAATGACATAGATATAGCTTTTTAAGATTATGAAACTTTCTGGAAAATTCTAGATTGGATATTATAAGTTTTAAATCCACTGATATTTCAATACGAACTAAGAAGCGTAATGAACAAAGCTAGGCTTAGATCCATAAATTAACATAGATCCTATAGTGTTGTCTAAGCCTATTGATATTTATATAGCTTATAGAAGGAGAAATGGAGTTCAGTACCCTTCGGTATTTGAATATGGATGGTCATATGTATTTGTAATAAGTTTGGTCAAGATCGAGCGCTTCATTTAGAAGTATTAAGCCTATTGATATTTTATAGCTTATATAAGGAAAAATGAAATGGGGCGCCCCAGAAGAATGGATATTATGAGTTCAGTACCCTTCAGTATTTGAATATGGATAATAAAGTGTACGTGTACTAATTTTGGTCAAGATCCATCTACTCATATAGGAGTATTTGTTGTTAATTTTATTTATATAGCTCATATAAGGGAAAAACGAATTTGGGGCCCCTGGCCCCAATCGGAATGTTATAAAAAGTTCAAAACCCCTTAGGAGTTCCTTCCGGATATGATGGACATATGTGCCAAGTTTGGTCAAGATCCATCAATTCATGTAAAAGCCTTTGTGGAACAAACCCACAAATCCACTAACTTTCACTTTTATTTATATATATATATGATAACTTTTTTCTGATTTTTGTGTCAAAGTTTTTTGAGTAAACCTGAGAAAGGTAGTCATAAGAAGCTTGGTACAAAGCAGAAACTTCCATCACTATCACGACAGTTAAATTTATTACAAAAATGCAATGCAAGTTGTTTAAAAAAAACAAAAACAACTTTAATATATTCTACTGTGATTAAAAATAGTGTGACCATTCAAGAAAAATGAAGAGAAAATCCAAGTTTTACATTTAAAATGGTTTACGCTGAGGAATTTGGTATAAATAAAAAAAAGTACAAATATTTAAAAGCTTACAAATTGGTTAAAAATTGATATAGGATAAAGAATTCTTAAATTAAAATATCTTTAGCAAGATTAACGGCCCCTTTGCAAATGATAAGAGCCATTTTTTTTTGCATTTAATTGAATTCAAATTGCTTCTATTATCAACCATTGACTGATTGTTTGCATTTAAAAACATTTAAAGAAATATTAGCTTTTGAATTTTACCTCAAAGTTTTTTGTGTGGATTTATACAACACTGTAATTTTGAATTGTTGCGTCTTTGTTCTTGATTACAATTTTTTTTTATTTGAAGATCTTTCACTTGATATTCCTGCCCAGTTTTCTAGCAGACTAACAAAACCAAAAGAGGGAGAGCCTATTTGCACATTATCAGGTTGGTTGGTTTTTGCAATAGAGATAAGTTAGAAAGCAGATTAGCCTAACTAGTTGGGACTGGGGTGGTTCAGATACCCAAACACAAGACCGCATAAAAGAAGTTTATTATCATCATCAATGGCACTACAGCCCATGGAGGGCTCTGGCCTGCTCCACCACATCCTTCCATTCAGAAGGATCCATGGCCATGCGTTTTCACTGAGGGACCTCCAGCTGATGTAAATTTGTCTCTGCATCAATTCATTTTGGTCAAGCAGTCCGCTGTCTGCCCCTTGGTTTAAGTCTCTAAATCAGGGGTGCCACTTTTCCGGGTTATCCCGGAATTCCGGATTCGTGAGGCTAAATATTTTTCAGTTCCGGATTCGCAAGTTTTTATATTCTCTCGCTCCGTATTCGCCATTTCAATTTATTCAAATACGGATTCTGTCTGGTTTTTTTTTTTATTTTTTTTTTAATCAAGGTATAACAAAGCGTGAAAAACCGGGAAAATTCCTTGAAAATGGACGTTAATCACCGATCTCGTCTATTTTTAGACTTTCTGTTGCCAGAGAGCTAGTGGTTTCCCCTTGCGCATGCGTTTTGAGCTTTACACGTTTTGAGTACCGTACTGCTTTGATAGATCAGAAATATTTATTTTCTGTTCACTTCGCCAATCAAGAGATATTTGAAGTGTTTGGGTAAGCAAAGTGTAAAATTTAGTAAATATTTTTTTTTAGTTTTTAATTGTTGGGTAACCATTATTATAATTTATAAAAAGAAAACTACTTGTGCTCTCTAACAAGACTAAGCTTAGCGTACTTTGTTATGTTTTACTGTATGCAGGCGACATGTATTTTTTTTATTAGAAGAGCTTTAACTTTTTTTTAAAGACTTCTTAAGTTAACTTTACATTTAATAACGGAGTAAGCCTTCTAATTTTAAATAGGCTAATGATTAAATGATTAAGTTATTTTTATCCGTTCAGTAGTGAGCCTAACATAACTGTATTTAGTTAGTCTTTATTTAGATAAATTTATTAGTTATGCACTCCTGTGTTCTGACTCTGTATACTTTATGGTAATTCTACTATTACTATTATTCATAATGCTCTGTATTACCATGCCGTAGTTTATTACTGGTATAATATAGTCTATATTATTATTATTATGTATGCCTTATTATAAATTATAAATCTAATGTAATATATTTTGTTTCACTATTCAGGATCTAGGCTCAATAAAATAATGTAATGCCCAACATTTCCTTTAAAGAACTGATGGGCACTACAGTTACAGCAATCATAATTGAATAAGCAATCAATGCTATACTATGCTGGAAATATTGATATCAAGTATTCAAGGTGGAAAATGTCTGAGTCAATCAGGTGATAAAGCTGGTATCATCTTCTAGGTGTCCACTTCTGCAACTTCTCAATTTATGTTTCAAAACTGGGAGATTTTATAGACACTAAAGTGTGTTGACTCAAACTATCCATTTTCATCATAAAGAAGAGAACATTAACTCCATATAAGAAAAGATGCTCTCCACTTGTGGTAGCTATACGTTTGTTATAAAATGCCCTGATAACACATTTCAAAAGTTGACTTTTCAAGTCTAAGTAAATTGAAAAATTGCTATTGCTAGGAAATTTAATAAATATTTACATGTATACACCTTAATTGCTTAATTTTGTTCATTTGTGATGTATTTCAATGTTTTATTTGATAATTTCATGCTTGTTTTTATATTAATCAACAAAAACGTCGCATTGCGATAATCAGGAATTTTGAGTTTCGTTAAGTTTCAGGGATTGAAAAATTTGTAAATGACGTTTCAGGTTTCAAGAAATTTTTAGAAAGGGATTTCAGGGTTCACAGCTTTCAGTGAGTGGCACCCCTGCTCTAAACCACTTGTGCTCCTCTTGCATCTTCTTGAGGTGTCCTATCCAGTGACGCCTCCCTTTTTTTTTTTTTAAATTGCAGTAACTATGGTAGGGTCTTAGTACAACTGGTACATTTCTCAATTTAAATAGGTTTTCTCCTTAAAAATGTTAGTGAATAGAATAGAAAGGCTAGTGTTTCATAGAATACAAAGGCTGATGCGTCATGTGTCTGTCGGCTGCTTGATGTCGAAAACCTGTAAGAACTGGATTTTTTTTTTGTTGGCGAAAACATGTCATTTTCAATTACGATCAATGGCATTTAGAATAAAATCCTATGTCGCTTGGTCTTTCCAGATGTGTATTGTACAATATGCATTAACAGATTTGCAGATAGCATTAACCCAGTCTGGTCACTGCATGTACAGTACACCTCTAAATTTTACCTGGATTATGCAACTTTGGTTGGCATTGTTTTCCATTGTTTGTTTGCCAGTGCTCCATACATGCTTATCTTGTACATCAATATGATTTTTTTTTAAAAAGACAAAGGCATTAAGATAATCAGCTTTCTACTGTATTTCTAAAGCTGTTTTATTTTTTATAATATAAATTAATTTTAGATTAAGGTTTGTAAATTTAAAATCTATAAAACTTGTATCAAAAAAAAGGTCTTCTCAGTCATTATTCACTTTGTTAATTAAATATTAATAAAGCTTTACAATGGTTTTTTTCTTACTGGAACCCGAAGTATTGATAATAATAATATTACTTTTTTAAAAATTATACTTTTTTCAGATTGTCTGTCCAGTTTTACAGATGTAGAAGAATTAGAAGACTCAGAACTGTATATGTGTAATAATTGTAAGCAGAGACAACGTTCCACAAAGAAATTTTGGATCAGAAGATTGCCAAATGTAAGATTTAATGTTTATATTAAGATCAATCATTGCCTTAATTTTAATTATTTTTTTATTTGTTTTTACACATTCAAGAAATCAGGGTATTGCTAAAAACAATATTATCATGCATTAAGTATCTCCATAAAATCTCAAATACAACATAACAGGGAGATGACAGCACATATCCCAGTGGAGCAAGATATTCATAAAATAGGGTGGAGACATATTGGTGATACCATTTTTTAAAAAACCAGTTATAATTAGGCCAGAAGTGGTATAAAACCCTCAGGGATCAAGAGGTTAGGAATACCCAAATAGACTTAGCGTAAATAGGTAGACAAGTATGTTCTCATGTGAGGAAAGAGTTATAGAAGATTTCAGGAGTCCAAAAGGTGTGGAAAGATATTTAATGGCATGTTCTCACTGGAAAGCAGAGAAGAGAAGATTTATTTTAATACTATTCTTTATGAATGCCCTTATCTCAATCATTTATATTAAGTTTATTCTATTTATTTTATTTCTCAGGTACTCTGTTTACACTTAAAACGCTTTAGATGGAGTATGTTCTGTCGTTTAAAAGTGGAAACTTTTGTTGAATTTCCACTACAAGCACTAGACATGAATACATATGTACTTAATAACTTGGTAAGTCTTCTTTTGTTCTTCTGTTTTATAAATTAATTATACTGATTGATTTTTAATCAATTATTGCTACTGTTAACACATATATTCTATTAAAGAAAGCACTTCTTTTCAGCATGAAACAAGAGGAAGCTTTTCAGGCAGCAATTTATATGATCTTGCTGCTGTTATAGTTCACCATGGCTCAGGGTAAGTCTTCGTGTTTAAAGACTTTCTTGCTGCTTGCATTTTCATCTTGTGGATGGAGCGTTCGTTAATTTTTTTATTACACACATGACATTTTTTTATTACACACATGACATTTTCACTTAGTTGATCAAATCTCCTTTGTGTGTGGGTGAGCTCAAATCTACTTTTTTTAATTGTATGCCAGGGTAAAGAGTTATGTCCATTCAACCAGGATGTTGAAAGCTTTCAATTCTGAAAAAAGTATATAATTCTACTTTTGTTAATAATTTATAGCGTAAATTTTAATACTAAAATGTAGAAAATAATATAAAATTTCTTAAAATGCATTGCAAAAATAAAGTCTGTGCAGAAAATATTTTTTTGGAAACATATTTAAGTTTCGTCTACATTCAATTCGAATCCTTCGGCTTCATAGAGTGTGATTCTGCATTAAATTAGGTAGTATGTCATTTTTATTTTTTTAAAATCATATTTGACCTGTGGCACAATTGGAACAAAATAACCAGTCCTAGCAACCTGCAAGACCTGTCTTGTCACAGAATAGTGCAATGAGCTCTAAATATGAAAAGTTGTTGACATCCTGGAAAATTCTAGAGATGTTATGTTGCAGCATTACTTTGGAAACTTTAAAAATAAACTGATGCATCTGATTTGAAATGTAATTTAATGGGAAAATATTTCAATAAAGAAACAAACAATGTAAAATTTAATTAGAATTCATACACTTTTAAAGTCACACAGGGAGGGCAGCTGCAAGCAAACCCATAAAATGTTGAAAGCAAGGAAATTGTTTATTTTAACTTTTTGAAAGAAAGCTATTAAAAATGAATAATAAAGATGGAAGTTTACAGTCTGAATTTTTGTTCTCTTTTTTTTTTTTTTTTTCTTTTTTTTTTTTTTTTTTTTTTTTTTTTTTTTTTTTTTTATAAAGGTGATTAAACAATTTTTGTGCAGTAAGGATGTTGTGATTTACAAGGTTAGCAACATTTTGTTTGAAAATCTACTTGAGACAATTTAAAATGTCATTCTATGAAACAATGACTTCGCAATGGAAATAACGTATGTTTATAATAGTGTGTGGGTAGATTTAATATTTTTCTTGAATAATGCTTGTTCACAGATGTTATTATGAATGTAAGAACTGTTGATGGGAGTCAGAAGAATACAGTAGAATATACAACATTATCTATGCCCCTTACATAGTAATACAGAGTATTGTGAAAAATAATGTCTTGCCCATGAGGGTGTTTGATTTGGTCATGTGAGTGAGTGACAGGTTTTTACTTGATGAAGCAGCCATGATAAAGCTTAAACATTGAAAGAGATGTTGTGAATATATTACAGGAATTGAATGACTTAGTGAAGTGAGAATTAAATATTCCAAGATTCAAAGTGTGTATCGTAGTTTCTGTAAAATTATTTATATAGATATTTATTTTTCTTTTGGATATTGTGAACGGCTGAATTAAAGTAGCACTGAATGAACCTGCAACACCTGGAGCATTATTTATTACAGAAATAGTCACAGCAGTATTAGTAAATAATGAAACAAAATTATAATTTAATTTTAAAATATTTTAATTATCTGCATCCTTTTAAAATGTTTTAAGTATCTGCATTTATTAAATATTATTTTTCAGGGCAGGGTCTGGACATTACACAGCCTATGCCACACATGAAGGTAAATAAGTGTTGGTTTTTTTTAAAATATTTTTCAAGCTAACTCATGTATAAAAGATATTTTAGTTAAAATGGAATATGTTTCAATAAGTTATAATTTTATTTTAGTATTTTTTTCTTTAAAACACCTATTAAATCTCTTAAATGTTTACAGGGCAATGGTATCATTTCAATGACAGCACGGTAACAGCATGTGATGTAGACACTGTTATGAGGTGTAAAGCCTACATCCTGTTTTATGTGCGAAGAGAAATTAGATTACCTGACAGTTTATGTGCCCGTGCACACAGTAGCCTAAACAGACGGATCCATCAAAATTCTGGCTCGGACACAGATACCAGAGACAATCACAAGATAAACAAAATTTTAACAAATTCTAAGCCCAAGTGAACAAACTTTCTTTGAATGTTTGATGAGGAATAAATGGTTGTTCCATTTGTGCTGAAATGGGACTGAATCTTAGTGTACACTTTTGAATGTATGCTTGCTTTATTTGTTAGGTTGATTTCAAAATTCATCCTTCTTTTCTCCTATTGTTTTGAAAGTGATGAGTGTTGTATTTAGTGGAGAAAGGATTTCAAATAAGTGAATCTCACATTCTTACCAACTCAAACTATTTCCAATAAAACATGAAAAGGGCTGTCTATTATTTTTAAACTAGATGTTTCTTAGTGCTAGTAATTTTAAAAGAAGATGAATAAATGTTTCATCCCTTTCCCAATACATCTCAACCAACCATACAATTTATTTCTTTACAGGATTACCATAGCATGTATTGAACTGTTAAGTTTTCCTTTTTAACACCAGGTTAAATATCTTAATCAAGTCTTGACTTGATCAATTTTAATTTTGAAATTATTGTAAAAAAAAAAATAATTCTCATATGGTCAAGACACCCATTCCTACTCAATGCCATTCCTATTTCAAATCTTTTGCTTCGGTGTACTTTATTTATTTTTTTAATCACTAGTTAAACAGGTAAAGCTTTAAGAAATGCTAAGATGGAATTGAAACATCTTTTACTTCTTAATATTTTGTATGTGTGTCCAGTAAAGTGGGCATATAATTCAAGTTAATTTCATTTAAACTTAGAAATATTGAGCATAATGAACAAAATAAAATTCGACTACCATTTTAGTTTAAATTTTTGCTATTACAAAAAAGTTACATAATTTTCTAGGAATTTTTTGCGTTTCTAAAGTACGGTACTATATAATTATATAGTTGTTACTGCTAGATTTTATATAGTAAGCTTTTTTAAAGGCAAGGATACCCTTCAAACTAAAAATACTGTTTCTCTATGATAAAATTTGTACTTATTGACAGTTACATGTATTTCAAAGCCAATCTATGAATAGTGAACAATATAAGTATTGGAAGTAAACACAATCATATAGAGTCTATTTCTATCAGGTTATATCCACATTAGGGGCTAATCTATTAAATCCACTAAAGAGGCACAACTGAAGTAAAATAACAGATATTTGCACCATACTTGTTCTTTTGTTTGGAGGTTAAAAAAATAATTCAAGTATCAAATGTAATTTAAGCCCACAAAAAAAACTTAGCAACTTTGATATTCTCAAAGAATTAAAATCTGTTTTATTTCATTTTACTTAAGACAAAATTTTATAACTATTAATTCAGTTATGCATTATTCTATAGAGATTAATTAGCCTCTGACAAAAGCCCTCCCTGTAAAATGAAAGGTTTCTGACCCAAATTGTCTGCTTGTGTTTGATTGTTAATGCCACCGCCACCAATGTGTGTTCAACATTATGTACATGGTGTACATGTATGTAGTCTAATGTATTTCTGTTCCTTTGTTATGATTTGTTATGAAATTATGTTAATCTCAAAATGGTTGCTTACTTGTTGTCATTGGCAGTGTTGTTAAATATTGTTGGTTTTTTTTTCAATTTGCAAGTGCTTATGATATTAAAACAAGTAGAAAATTAAAAAATGACATCAAAATACAGCTTCATTTGTTAAATTTTTCTTTCAGAATGACATTTTGACCTAAATGTCTTGTGATAACGTGAGCAAAACTAATACATCCTTCTTATAACTATAACTTTAAATACAAGTGATGACAGTTATATAGTATCAGATCTTCTAAGATATGACTGAAGATTTTTGGAGTTGGACGAATTACAGTGCAGGGGCGTATCTGTAAACGAAAAATAAAAAGTGGGGGACAGATCACGCAAATACACTCAGCAGGAGGTTCCCGGTTGGGGATCTTGACCGATGGGTTTCGAACTAGGGCTCTTAGTTCTCGAAAGTTGGATTTGGAATATTTTTACGATCTCACTAAAACTCTGTGAAACAGAGGATATGCAAACGTCATTCCTGACCCTATTTTGTTGTTTATAATAGCCTAATGCTTTATACCGGGTACCGGTACTCTAAATTCAGTGGAGTAGCCAGTGAGATACCGGCGAGGGCGAAATCAAGAAAATTGGAACTGCGGGAGCGACAGTGCTGCTCTCCACTGTGGACCTGCTTCTACCGTCTGATACTTGTGTATAGTATTAGTGATGGGAATCGAACAATCTTTTAGAAGTTCGGTCGTCAGGAGGGTTCGAGTTCGGTTCGATTCCCATCTCTAGTTCCGGCACACACTAAAACAACTTCTATATCATGTCTGGCCTCACTTGCGGCACATCGGGGTTTGTTCCTTGTTTATCTTTTACTTTTAGGCGGGGGCGTAGCTCCGGGGACGGGCCAGGATTTTGCCGTTGTCCCAAAATGCCGCAACTCTATTTAGTCTATTTAAAGAAAAAAGGGCCGCCAGGGCCTCTTCCGTACCCCCTTCATACGCCACTGCTTGTAGGATCATCATACTACAACGGCGTTTTGCTCCTCTCCACCCACTCATATCTCGCAACATCTAGGTATTGTCAACTGTCAACAATTTTTTTATCGATAAATAATTAGGCCTATCCATGGATGTCCACAGAATGTTTTGTAGGGGGTTCATGGGTATCCACCGGGGGGGAAAAAAAGGGGGGTGGGGGTGGGATGCTTTGACAAAAAATGCTTCGATGACGTAAACAATCACAAAAAGACGTTTTTTGCATAGAATAGCTAGGCCTATACAGAGATTAAAAAAAAGTATTTTTGAAAAAAATGCTATGATTGTGATGCAAAATTTTGGCAAAATCGGTTGGAGGGGGGGGGAGCAATAGCCAACACCCCCCCCCCCCTCCCCTGGGTGGATGTCAGTCTATCTAATTTCGTTGGGTTTGAACGAGTTTCAAGCACTGGATGAAAAAGAGTCGGCCATAAGGCTTTGTTTAATTTGTCCCACATGAATACAAAACCAAGCCTATGTTCGAAAGGCTGTTTGTGTGAGAGAGTTGGGTGGGGGATGGTTTTTTTGTTATTCCGGTATATCAATTTGGCTTTCAAAAAAATCGTTTAGCTAAAGTATTTTCTCTTTATAAACACTGCTGACGTAAGCAGCGATGTGCCACGTTCGTTGTGTAAGAACGTTCGATATGGTTCGTACTCATCGAAGATCGGGTTTGAGTGTATTTCCGCAGGGAGCCTTGACAGTTGGATTTCTTTGGCCTCTCCGTTATGCTCTTTGGTGTTGTTCAGACAGGCGTTACGTGCAGTCATATGGTTTTACAAATTACAAATTAATCAGTTTAAATATTTGGCTCGCGTGTTGAACAATACGTAACAAAGGTCTGAAAACCAGAAGACAAAGAAAATCGATACCAATGCGTGTGATACTAACAATATTCAATTTCATTGCACTATTAAATTTATATAATTAAAAAAAACCCTGAAACAAAGTGTTGGTAAAAATCCTTTATAAAATCTAATAGCGAGCAATGGAAGGGTGGGGCTGAAAATGTATCAAACATGCATACAAATAACGCACCGTATAAGAATAGTTCCCCCCCCCCAACCCCCAGGCTCGCAACCGCACATTTTTTGTCACGCCCCTGGACTAAATTAATATTCTAATACCCCACCCGCGTTTACACCTTAGATCTATTTCACCAACTTTTTCAGAAAAAAAAAAGGGAAATTATTGCGATGTATTACATAGCCTATATGTCAAAAGAATCTCATTTAGCTCAGTTATCGGGAAGTTTCTTCTATATTCCCTTCGAAAAACAGGGCTGAACATTTGACAGAATGGATTGTGATCGGCAATGAGTCTATGTGCCAAGTGTCAGCTCGATAAGTTGACGGCAACTGGGTCAATTGGCCGTCCGAAGATTTTTTTTCTCCAGCTAGCCACCCACGAACAAAAGCGAAGTTTATCGAATCTATGAACTAAAATGATCTGAAACTGTTCAACTTTTTTGTTTTTAACTTATATTCATATTATCTAATCCTATTTTCTTTCTTCTTACTCTTACTGTCACTGACACCGTGCGTGATGCCAAAAAGAGACAGAACATTTTCAAAAAGCTACAAAGTTCTTCATGAATACAAGTTGTGGAACATAGGAAATGCAGTTAGCTGCTGCGGAAGGTACAATGGCATACCACTCAGTCAATTACAACTGCAGCTTCCATTCCATGGACTGTACTTCAAAGATGATCCAAAAACTGTTCGAAGCAAAGTTTACTAGTGCAAGAACACAGAAGTAATTGTTATACTTGTTCGATATTTTTTGCCATCAACGGGAATCCTAGCAAAATTCCATGAATTTAAAGATTTACCAGGAGAGACATCTACTCTATAGCACCAATACAGAGGCGTAGTGTGGTGGGGGCAGGGGGGGACAGATGTCCCCGGGCGCCAGCTAGTTAGGGGCGCCAAAATGTGCTTTGATATTATTTTATTGATGAAAATAATGGTTTTGAGAGTTGAAAAAAAAGAAAAAGGGGCGCTAAAAATGGATCTTGTCCCCGGGCGCGAATCTTGTCCCCGGGCGCCAAACACCCTCGCTACGCCACTGCACCAATATATTAAGGACACGCTGGAATAACAACAGCTGTCACGGTAACTTGCTGCTTTCTGTGCCGACAAATTTTGGTGGTGCGGAGAAAAGGGAAGAAAACAGTAGGCCTACATATTGCAATATACGTGAAACACTTAGTCATGAAGTCTTTTGCCTTGGATGTGCAGTACAGGATATCCTGGGATGAAATCCTACTTTTTCTAATTAGATAAAATGTCTACAATTTTTGTCTGAAGATCCAACTGCAAAGCAATGGTTATATTTAGTACATAATCAGGAAGCATAATTTAAAGCAGGTGTTCTGCAAATTGACGATCCCACATCAATATGTGTTGAAGTGTATAGATCTTTGAAAGACATTAATGACAAATACAGGGAAAGAGCAACAGAGAAGTACATTCCCATGATGATTCAAAGTAATTCAAAGGAGTTCGAGAACGAGATTGATACCAATAAGCTTTATTCACAAACGATTGAATTAAATGAAATTAGTGCAAATTACCTGGACCGCTAGTGCAATTATTGGAAGGGATATACATTTTTGATTTGGTGCTTCTGAGATTACAACCATCAATGACATTACAACCATCAATGAGATTACAACCATCAATGACATTACAACCATCAATGAGATTACGACCATCAATGAGATTACAAACATCAATGAGATTACGACCATCAATGAGATTACGACCATCAATGAGATCACAGCCATCAATGAGATTACGACCATCAGTGAGCCATAAAATTAGCAGCAGGGCCATTAAAAAAAAAAAAGTTTTGAGAACCAAATTTCTTTTCAAGAACCTGTCCAGAACCAAGATTTTCGGAGTCAAATCCGGTTTGTGGCTGACTGACAGAGCCGCACTCAGGTCTCTAAAGAGTCACACGTGGCTCACGAGCCACGCTTTACCGACCACTGCTCTATCGTAGCAATGGGCATAGTAAATGACTTATAATTTTCATATTGTGGAACTGATATACCAAACAAGTCAGCATCATCCGCATCTAACCATTCAGCACTTAAAATGGAAGCATTATCAGTCTGAGCAATAACTGACATAAGCTCTCTCCAACCCCTGTCAGCTACTTGTAGTAGTCAAATCCTTTTTTGTTGAGGAGCAGGAGGTAATTTCTTATGGCCAAGAGTGCATTGTCGGTGCTGTTGAAAATGCTTTTTCAGCATGACTTGTGATGCAAAATAGATGTTATGGATTTTGCAAATCCGTTCAATTAGCCAGTTTATTATTGTTACTCACTTTACTTTCCCCTAATTCTCAAAATATCATATTCTTACTTTATCATTATCGTTTATCTTGACTGCACATGACACTTGAACCATGTCCTTGTTCGATCCCTGCAACATGATCGCAAACATACCGCCCTAGCCATTTGCGCCAAAATCTACTGGCGAAGAGGCCAACTTTTGACTTTGACTTCTCTTGCACTAACAAAGTGTGCTAATATTCTGACCAGCCGTCTGCATTGCACAGACATACACATATTAAATAAATCTTATATTGTTAAAAGCCTAAAAATTATATGACTATTTACATACATTAATTTTTTTAAAAATATTTCAATAACAAGTGAATTTTAAGATTAAAATTTTAAATAGATAAAACATGATTGTTGACGTCAATTAACCTAACCCCACTCCATTTTTCAACAACTATCAAACATTTCCAACCCCTTATTTTGTTGACATAATGAATGGACGCCCCCTAAGGGGCCATCCATAAAGTACATCACATTATTTTTGACCATTTTTACCCCCCTTCCCCGTCACAAACTGTCACAAATATCGGACCCCCCAACCCCCTAAAGCACGTCACACTTTCGAACAAAAATCTTTAAAATTAATAAAACATAATTAAAATTTAATCTAAAACACTCTTCACTATTAAGCTGTATTAAAATATAAAATTTCCACTTAAAGAACTATCACATTTTTAAAATAGTTACTAGCGCACCTAGCGAGAGGAATCCTGAACAACACATTCAGGAAATACGCATTTCATGCTATTTTGACATAAA